TCCTTTCCCATTTGTTCTCCTTTGTCATTGCACATGAAACAAGGTCTTGATACATGGACCAGGCCAGCTAGAACTCACTACATTATCCAGACTGGCCTTGAACTTGAGATCCTTTTGCCTTTGCCTCCTGAGTGATGGGATTACAATCATGTATCACTTGTTTTCTTATTTTCTGTATCTCCAGATGTTAGAAATTAGGAATAGTATAGCAGGCAAGAGTGGGATATAGTGATGCTTGAAACAAGAGAACAAAGAATCATTTTTAGAAAAGAAGATCTGGAGGACATTTGTCAGGGAATCCCAGAGGAACAGAACTGATAGAATGAATTATTAAAAGTGATATTTTTAGATTGATTTATAAAATACAGTTTGGGTAGCATACCAATGGTTGTCCTTATACTGAAGAGGTTAAGACCTTGGTAGATGCTCATTCTACAAGGCTACATATCTCAGCAGGGCCAATCTGATGCTGAAATCTTGAAGGATGCCTGGAGAGCCACTGGTCTTCAGTAAACATCTGAATATATTTGTGTTTTGATGTCAGCAAAGGATGGCATCAACAGCATTTTAAATCAACTCAGCCAGCAAGACTTGAAGGTAAAGCGGTTTCCTAAGACCTCCTGAATCTAAACCACTGTCCACATTTAGGGTGAATCTTCCTATTTCAATTAACCTAATCAAGAAAAGCCCTCACAGGTATGCCAAATGACTTGTCTCATGGGTGATATGGTAATATTTTTTTGTACTGAATTGTGATTTTATTTGTATGTTAATTAATAAAGTTGCCTGGAGGTCAGTGGTAATAGTAAACCATAGCAGAGCTAGGCATTTGTGGTGCACGCCTTTAATCCCAGCAAGATATCTGTAAGCAGAGCTAGGTACATCTCTGTGTGGTCAAGGATACAGCCAGCATTGGAGACACATCCCTTTAATCTCAATACCAACCATAGAAGACCTAGAGGTCTGCACAGACAGGCAGTGATGAGGCAGTCATGTGGTTGGGTTTACAACCAATGAGAAGGCAGAACAGAAAGTCTATATAAAGACAAACACACAGGAAGTAGGTCTCTCTTGGCAGAAGAGGATCACTGAAGCAGGAAGGGTAAGGCTCTTAGCTCTGACCTCTTGGGCTTTTATCTTTACATTGGCTCTGTGTTTCTTATTTAATAAGACGGTTACTCCTACAATTCTCAATCTTCTCAAGTTGACCGCCAAAGCTAGCTGTTACAGACAGAAAGGGCCAAAAAGGCATGGGTATTTTTTAATATAGTATATATAAACATGTACTAAATTTTCCAATGTATAGATATAATTAGGCTTTCAATGTAGCTATTTTAAAGACTGTTGAAATAAATCATATCACTTTTCTGGAATTGGATGATAAATAAAATGGGGAACAAAGAAAAACGTCAGAATTGAAACTGGTTTTGAACATAAAATCTGACAGATATTTTCAAGATTTGTAAGTTCAGAAATATTTAATGTGTACTTACTCGTTTCCTGGTACCATTTGAAGCACTGAATTATTCAGGACCTTTGCATATAGGTTACAATGGCCCAGACTTGTGTGTGTGTGTGTGTGTGTGTGTGTGTGTGTGTGTGTGTGTGTGTGTGTGTGTGTGGGAGAGAGAGAGAGAGAGAGAGAGAGAGAGAGAGAGAGAGAGAGAGAGAGAGAGAGAAGTAGTGTGTAGTATCAATTGATTGTGTAACAAACAGACACAACCCTGGGAAACAGCATCCCTAACAGAAGCATCAGCAAGACCGAAAGTCTTAGAAATGGAATTGTTTGTCTGTTGAAGGGCAGAAAGAAAGGAAGGACAGACTATAGTGAATACAGAAGGTGATTAGGCTGCTGATGTGGGTCAATGCCAGATTGTTCAGGGTTTTGGAAGTGGTTGCCTTGTGATTATAATAAAATAGTGAGCTTAGGAAATGCAGAAACTAGTGACCAAAGTTCAGAGAAGTGCTGCAGAGGACCCATGGGTGATATGGTTCTCCACTGGTTCATCAGACGTTAATGAAAATTTCCAAGGAGAGATGAGGAATATGACTAGAGGGACAACAATAGTAAATGTCACACTGATCCCACAAAGGATGTACACTTGAAATAGAGGCAGGTAGAGCTACAGATGGGTTGGTTGTTGGGTATGGGAATGAAGGAAAGGGAAGAGTCATCATCATTTTGAGGTTGGAAAATTTTATGAGCAGTGTGCAGTTCACAGATGGAAACATTGGAGGAAAAGCATGCTTCTCTGGGTAGAAATTGTGCTGTCTTGGTGGTGTTAGAATGAGTGGGCATGGCAAGCAGTCTACAAGTCTGTAGCCAAGACAAATTGACTAGTCTTCAGGTATAACCTGGAAGATCACCAACATAAATATTGTCTAAAATCATTCAAGGGGAAGAAACACCTATGATGAGGATGGCATTAAGAAGAGTCTTCTGGGGCAAAATGTAACAATAAAATCTGACAGGTGAGGTGGAGCTAACAAAGGCAACTGAGGAGGTGTTAGCAATGAAGAAGGGAATTCTAAGTGTGTTTGTTCAGTCAAAAGGAAACAAATATTTCATAACATGTTGAGAAGTAAAAACTAACGATACGGCTTTCCATTGTCAACATTATCTTATAAAGCTGTAATCTTGCCTCCTTGGGCCATTGAATTTACCCACACTTGTGGAGCCCCAATTCATCCTCTGGGACCCCATCGTTGCTGTGGGTAAATGACAGTTGTCAAGATACCATTGGACAGGCTTTTATTCCCATTTCCTGTGATATGGCCTCATTTAACCATGACTGACCTTAAACTCCTGATCTTCCTGCTTCCACCTCTCAAGTGTTGGTATTCCAGGTGTGCACCACCATGCTTGGCTTCATTTTAACCTAAAAGGAGTATTTTTCTGACTGTTGGGTTGTTTCTCAATGACTAGGATACTATATATGCCTCACTTTTCTCAATGTTTTTAATTGCTTTATTTTGTGATTAGCACTGTGTTCTATTCTCCCTCTCCCAATAATCCTGTAAGTTTGAAGCAGTGGGGACACTGTAGAATAGCACATACTATTTTTACTTGTAGGGCAGTTGATTTCTATGAGGTCTGTGAGATTTGGTAAAATTCAGTATAGAAGTTGATAGTGACAAGCCTGGATAGGTATAAGGAGATTGACAGATTCAAACAGCCCTATGGGATGGAAGGTTAAAGGAAGTAATCTTGTTTGTATCCACAATGCTTAGCCACGGGATTAAATACTGCCTGCCTCATCTGGCATTCTCTTTTTGGCTCTACATTAGCTTTAGTGTATCACAACATTTTCTTTGCCATTCCATATATTGAATATGATAATGGATCCTTTTATTTTAAAAAACACAATTTGTTATTGATTCATTGGGAATTTCACATCACTCACCCCAATCCCCCTAACCTCCCAGTCCCTCCATTTTCACTGCTCACCCCTGTAGCATCCTCCCAAAATTAATTAAAACCAACCAACCAACTAACCAACCAACCAACCAAACAAACAAACCCATCTATGCCTTCTGTCTTTCCAACACAATGGCTGTTCTTATTCATTGAAATAAATATTCCAGACTTTGGTTTGCTTGAAATATAGGTACTCAATACATGCCCACACTTTGTACCAGTGTGTCACAGCCTGTCACAGGAATAATTGCTTGAGAAAACAAATTCTTTGAGAAGCAGTTGAGATAATCCTATGGGATTTTATGAGAAGAGTTACGTACAGCCACTGTGACATAAGATTGGAAATGCTTGCCCACAGTGGAATGGGCTGCTTTCCAGAGAGATGCTGTTCCTCCTAAACTCAGTACTGGTTTGGAGCATATTCTGGTGGAAAAAGACACACCTTTCAAATTAGAATGAGAATGAGACTAGTGAGAAGAAACTAATGACATTGTAAGTTTCCTACAGATTGAGAAAATATAGTAATATTTCCAGTACCACTTTCTTAGAGAATAAATGGATCTGCTGGTGAAAGGCTAACTCTTCACATATAAGGCAAACAGGTTAATTATAATTGAAATACAGGTTAGGTCTTCCATTTGGGTTCACGATCATAGCACTAGATTTAAAAAAAAAAAGGAATAGTGTAAACTGATTCCAACTACCTTTCTACCTACTTCTAATAATGAATTAGCTTGGCTTATAAAGTTGAATGATATAAGGACAGGGCTATAAACATATTGTGAGTTGGTACACAGTACTTTAAATTCTTTATAGTAATGTTCAAGAGAAACTTATTGTTAAATAATTCAGCAATAATTACTAAAGGACAGCATTGATTCCTGTGAGCAAGCCAGGGCTTCTGCATATTAAAGAACACTGCCTCTACTCTATGAGATCAGATGGAGTCAGCTAGTTAGGGTGGTATATTGTGATTAAATGATAATTCACAAAGGCAAACTATATTGAGTTTGGGCTTTGGGACTTCAGGTTTGCACTTTAATTTACAAAAAGATTCAATATTTAGATTCAGTTTCTCTCAAAAAACTTTGCAATGATAGGAATTTTTATATTCAAGTTTGGGACATCTCTAAAATGGTAATACTTTTCTTTTAGAAGCTCTTGGCATTATTATTTTAGCTCACTGTAAAACCCACAGGTCCTACCAGAAAAATGAGCTTAGATGTAATTTAGCATAACAAATACCCTAAGCAATGAAATGTGAGGCCATGAGCAGAGCTTGTGTATATCACAGAAGATTCTGCTTACCCTCTGCTCTAACGTGATTCCTTCATGGAAATGGCAGCGGTTTCTGTACACCTAGCCTGCCTGTCTGAATAGTTACTTCATCCTTGGATCCCTGCCAGTTACCTTCTCTGATGCTATTGAAGAGACATGGTGCATTATATTCAGCTTGACATCATGGCTAATACCCCTTTCACCCAAACACATGTAATTTTAGACTTACTTTCATGTGGTCTGTCCAATTTACCTGGGTATAATTAGCCTGTAGTTTAATGAAATTTTGTGGTTTTTGCTTTAGCACAGCCTTAACTAAACTTTTCATTCTTTTGCTTACCATGTCCCATTATCATCGAAGACCTGACACTAATGCTGATCCTGAAGTTGTTTTCCTCGAGCCTTTTATTGCAGCCAAATAATAAATTGAATTCTGTAATTATATCCAGTGCGGATTTAAAGTTTTTTTCAACTTAATTTTTTCTTCTGCAAGAAGAGTTGAATCTTGGGACTGGTCATGGTAGGTAAGAATTCTCTACTGAGCTATACCATAGCAATTAGGGTTAGAGTCTTGTATGTAGCTCAAGCTATCCTTGTATTCCCTTCATAACCAAGGCTAGCTTTGAACTTTAGAACCTCTTGCTTCTGCTTCCTGAGTGCTGGGATTACAGGTGTACACTACCATACCTGGCTTCAAATCTGAACTTCTTTAGGAAGGTAAGTTGAGCTGAATTACAAAAATCATTTTTATTGCAAGAGTATAGAGAATTGAAAGTGCAAAATAAAAGTGGATACATTATTCAGGAAACATTGCTTTTCCTGCTTAAGTAATAAAATTTTTAAATCATATAATTTTATATTTTAAATCAGTTTAGTTCATATGTCACAGTTGTCATAATAGGATTATCAGAGAATCAAAGTTCTTTTATTCCTTATTAATTTGTGGAGTTCTGATGTAAATTCAGATCCACCTGGCTATAGAGCTTGAGGCTCAATATGCTGAGAATCGGGACCCTCATCTTACTGTGTTTGACCCTCCATGATCTCCATGATCTGTCTTACCCTTTCATGAATTTGTTCACCAGGGTAGGAGCTGGATTGTTTGAACTGAATAGGAAGGTTAATTGTTGCCCAAACAGGAAATGCCAGATGCCATAGAACACAATACTTTTCTTAAATATGTTTTGTGGATGCTGTTGATTTGTTCTGTTTTGTTTTCAATTTTGGATCCCATGGTAGCTTGATGCAGGCATCAGGTTCCATAAGAACTGGGCTTCCTGCCCAGATCCCAGCTCACATGTGGATTGTAGGAAGTTACTTAAACTCTTAAAGCACCAGTCACACATGTAAAGTAGAGTCAGGTCAGTGTTCTGTTAGATTTTTCTGTGAGGATTAAATGAATGGTTTCTAGCACACTGCCAGACACCAGAGAGAGCTCAATGAATGAGAAACACAACCGTGACACCACTTTGTGTTCCCAGAGAAAACTTGGCATAAAAACTACTGAGGTGCATTTCTTTCTTTCCTCTTGGGGGTAAAGAAAATAGTGCCAGACAGAGAATTTGTCTCCTTAGATTGAGGTATGGTAGCCAAGGCCAGAGTCTACCATTAATCTTCCAATGGTGTGTGTCAAGGGATTACCAAGAGACAGGTGAAGAAGTTTTACTCTGCATAAGACTAAAGAATTGTAACAGACTCAAGGCAACAAGTGTGCATTTCATTAACTGAAATTAATACCTGTATATTCTACTGGCTCTCCTATGATATGATGAATGTAGAGAATATGCCACTATGTAATTTTCTGTGTAGATTTTATGGAATACACCCATCAAGGGTTCATTTAGGGAAGTATATTACTATGTGTATCATGAACACAAAAGTTTTTTATTTATTTATTTTATTTTATTTTATTTTACAATACTATTCAGTTCTACATAACAGCCACAGATTCCCTTGTTCTCCACCTTCCTATCCCCCTCCCCTTACCCCCAGCCCACCCACCCCATTCCCACCTCCTCCAGATCAAGGTCTCCCCCGAGGACTGAGATCGACCTGATAGACTCAGTCCAGGCAGGTCCAGTGCCCTCCTCCCAGATTGAGCCAAGCATCCCTGCATAAGTTCCTGGTTTCAAACAGCCAACTCATGCAACGAGCCCAGGACCTGGTACCACTGCCTAGATGCCTCCCAAACAGATCAAGCCAATCGACTGTCTCACCTATTCAAAGGGCCTGATCCAGTTGGGGGACCCTCAGCCTTTGGTTCATAGTTCATGTTTCCATTCGTTTGGCTATTTGTCCCTGTGCTTTATCCAATCTTGGTTTCAACAATTTTCACTCATATAAACCCTCCTCTTTCTCACTAATTAGACTCCCAGCGCTCCACCTGGGGCCTAGCCGTGGATGTCTG